AGGATCTCACAGTGCATAAACCATCTATTGCTCCCTATACACAAGGGTGATCTCCAGATGAAATCATATTGAGGTTCTTTTTCTGGTGGAGTCAGATTAATATAAATATGAAAGTTCTTGTTATAGGAATTGAAACTGCCAGGAACTGAATTGAAAGAGGATTCCCTAGGTTGGATTTAATAAAGTTAATTGAACCAAGGATATTTCATACAAATTACCAACCAGTTCAACTTCTAAAGATGTTTGTTCTTTAACTGCTCATATGTTTCAACCTTTAGCTTCACCTTAAAAGTTTTTGTCTGGGAATTTTCCTTAATTTTTTTCCTTATGGGAAACTGATATAAGGGTAGATGAAGGCAGAATTTAGTTTGTTGTATGGTTCCAGGCTACTATAGCTACCATTTATTGCTTAAATTAGTATTTCACCATGGCTGTGAATGGCCTCATTGTGTTCTGCAGGCACCCATCGGTTCCTGCCTCAGTTGGTAGTGCCATTGCTAGTCCTCAGACAGCTCGGGGATCTGCTTTTCTCAGTGGTGCACGTTAGTCATTGTGCCCCAGATTTGCCTGCTATGTCATGATAATTTCCTTCTCTGGGTTGAGAGACTTTTTTACACCTTCTTTCAGAATGGAAATAAGAAATAGGGCTGATCTAAATTTTAAAAAGTTTTAAGTGTCAACTTATTTTCCTTTTGTGCTGGATTCAAAATGAATCCTTTCCCCATTTATGAAATCAATTTTTTAAATACAAACTTATCAAAACCCTGATTGAAATGGTTATCAGCACTTTTCACTCACTGAAACTCAGATTTTGCCTAAAGAAAATACCTTTTGATAGTATTTCAGGAATAGTATTTCAGTAGCCTGTGGCAGTCTCAGAAACTGGGGAAAATTTTCTAAAAAGCCGATGGATTTTTTTTTGGGGGGGGGGGGGGGGGGTTCATTTTGGGGAAAGACCCTTTTTCAACAACTAAAAAACTTTAATTCAAAAAATATCAACAAGCTTCAGTTGTAAGAGTTGTAAAGAGTTCTGACTGAGTGCTGGGGGAGACAGACACCATGTGTACAAGAGTCTAATTCATACCATTTTCGATGTCCGGTTTTTCTATGGCTGAGTCCTACACCTCAGAAGGCCTTTGAGAGTTGGTGGGCGCTGTCTGGGGGGCTCTGCTCGGTGTTGCCCAGTGGTGCACTTCTTTTGAACCTTTAGTCCACTTGCACATCCCTTTTGTCATTTTTTTGTCCCCTGCATTCAGTTGTTGCTTTCTTCTCTCGCTGCCCCGCTAAGTGGCAGCACTTTGTGATGTGGTAGACGTAGCCCACGGCCCTGAAGGCAACAAATAGGTCTACACCTAAGAAGCCAATGGGAGTAGGAATGAGGCCCTAGTACACTGTCTTATCTGATCCCTTCACCTGGACATCTAGCCATTTGGGTCAGTGGCTAGATTGCATCTGAGATGACCAGCTCAAAGGCTTATTTTCATTGTTCAGAACATATGATTTAGTGTGCATATGTTTCCTTATCCCAGGATGTAACACGCTGTCAAAGCACATGTGCAGAGGAAATTAGAGTGGATTGCACATCTCTGCAAACGTCGTTTTGTAGGTGAAATTTCAGCTCTTGAAATTATATCCAATTTTACGACCATGTGCAAGGGCTTCATCTGAGCCAGATGCATATTCCATAAATTGTTTCTTTTGAAACAATACAGTATCTCCCTCATAAAATTTTTAAAGTTGCACCATTTTTCATACTACATTGTAAAAGTCTGGCTTTACGCACCACTGTAATATAAATTCCTATTTAAGACCCTTTAAGGTACTATACTCCATTAAGAATATTTAACTGAGTAGAACAATACAGTTTTCTTTCTCACCAGAATAGGCAATTTTAGCAGAGATGGGCTAAAGCAGCAGAAGATGTGCTGAAAAATCACTCCCCTGCTCACTGACCAGGAGGACAGGTCCATGATTTCCCTGTCAGAGTATTGTCCACAGCAGCTAGTATAGCCACAACACATGAGATTCCCTGCAGTCCTTTCTGGCCTACAGAATTAGATGATCAGTTAATAGTAAATTTGAGGAAGTGTTTTTCCCTTAGGCCTTTAACTTATTGATCCATAACCATCCTAGCAGACTCCAGGGCATATTTCTGAATTTGTGAATCTCCCAGTTTTGGAGGACCCATCATTATATACACACTTGTTATATTTGTTTGTATGAAAATATAGGAGGCAACTAAAACAAATGAAATGGGTACTGTATTAGCACCTGGATATCTTACAGGTTTGTACTCAAATGCTGAAGTGATCGAAGCCATGGAAGCATCTCCATGGATAGCTGGATGTATTTCAGCAAACAGAGTTTCTGTACTCGGATTGGCATACAACTGCCCCTGACTTGCCTGTGAACTGAAGGGCGTGTCTAACAGGGAGGATTTACCACTAAGGAGCACAAATCAGACACACTGTACTTCTTGCTTCCTCCAGGCCCACAGGAACTATGTTGTAAATACAGACACAAAACAGGATTTTAAAGTCCTTCAGTCCTACATATCTCTGAATGCCTCTTGAAACTTCCCTTTTCTAGAGGCTTCACTTCACCTCCCACTTGGATGCTTTCATGTTAAATCACAAAAGTATTCTTTGAATTGAGTAGGCGAAGCAGCCTTAGGGGTTTATCCTTCTCCATTCAAGGCAAGGTTTTGCAATCTCCAAGCCTGGGCTGCTTAACTCAAGTCTCATCATTACCAAAAATGCCGGCACTTGTAAGATATGTTGGATCAACAACCCTGAAACCTAAAAAACAGCCTGTGCAAGATTTCCCATGCTGCCACGTTATCATGTCTGAAGACTGACTTCAACAGTCAATGGTGTCTCTGGAAAAGCTGCCAATATGGGTTCTGCGTGCAGATCTGGTTTATGTGATAGGGACACCTGTCCTCCAGCAACTGCACTGACATCCATAGCTCATAAAAGCCACCAAACAGCTGTCAAAAGTTAACAACTTTCAATCAATAAAACTTGGGACAGTTGAGAACCAGTGACCTAGAGGTGGCAAGCATTATATTTTATTGTAGATCCATTCAGCCATTCCAAACCTCTTTGGGCTTTATTTTTTAGATATTTCCATGCGTGGATAGATGTGAACTATAAAGCTGAACTGTTTATTTTGGAAGTATTTGGATAATCATTTATCCATGAGCAAAATACAGATGCAGGAATTCTAAGTTCCCCTCAGGGTATACTGAACATTTTAAAATCTTCACCAAGACTTCCTTTCTGCTAAGCCATCTAATATGTATTTGTGGGATCATCTAATGTATTAGCCTCTAAGGTAAAGCTCTACACATGTTCCTCTAGCATATATTTTACTCTACTTTTTTTTTTTTAATCTCTCTCTAGCACCTTATTCTTTGTGTAAATACTGACATCTTCTGGTCAGATATGAAGCTGTGCTACAGAGAATTGGAAAAGGCAGTGCCGAAGTGGTAGAACTTTTAAGAATAATTGAAACTGTGATTTTCGACTCAATTTTCCAGTATCCTGGGTTATTCCAGGAAAGTGGAGCTTTGTGGTAAAGAAACTGATGGCTTGAATCACATGGTTCATTTTATTTTCTATCTTTTTCCAAAATGGGTCACAGATATTAAAGCTAGAGGGGCCCATTCTGTGTATCATGCCAAGGTTCAAAATTGTGTCATGTTCCACTAGTTGGTGTTATACCTTGACATTCCATACATTCACTTGGCAACACACTTTCAAGAAGATTGTAAGACAACCAACCAATAAGGTTTGGGGAGTCAGTGATCAAATCTGGTTCCTTAAAATGATAAGATGCTCTAGGTGTTTGTCCCTTATAATTGTACGTGAGGCATTGAAATGGCAATTTTGGGAATTCCTTTGGTTAACAAGTCCCTGGAACACAAGAGATTGGACTTAGTGGCTCAGAAGTCCTATGTTCCTACATTGCAATTCATAGACTTTTCCCCTGTTATCCCTGTATTGAACCCAAGTAACTTGTACTGTAGTAAAGAGTGTCTCCAGAAAAACATGGTCATTCCATAGTTCATTTATGTGAAACATGCCACAATGAGCCTAGCATCAGTTAGATGGAGGACAGCAATTCTATGTTGCAAAGGCTTAAGATTTCAAAATATCACTTCACTGAAACAAGCTATAAATACATTAAATAAATAAATAGATAAATAAATACATTCTCCAAAAAAAATTGAAAATTATCATTTGGGATTGATAGAAATATTCCAGTTTGGCTTTAGTGTTTTCTATTATAATATGTAATATAAAACAAAAACTGTGTTTTCAAAATTAAAATCATTTTATAGATGTTGAAACATGACATTTGACACTGTTAGGACATTATTTCCTAGTTTTACTCAGAAACTAAAATTTCTACATTATTTCACAATGTGTTTGGATTTTGATGAAACTGCATTTTTTGTCAGGAAAAGGTCCGATCAAAGTGTTTTTCAAAAAGCTGTCTTTAACTGCTGGATTATAATAGATTTGCTGTGATCTAATTCACAAATCAATCTCTGTAGTGTAGGAAAGATAAAGCTCAAAGCTATAGGTTCAAATTACTTGAATTTTTTCATTTATATTGTTTGGGTGTTGCTTTCCTAGAGATTCTACCCAAAAAATGCAAATGTTAGTGTGGAAGGGTGGATATGTCTCCCCAGCTTCACTCAGAGCTCGCCTGCCATGTCTTGAGATAGAATAAATAATAAGAGTTATTCCCTGAGTGAGGTGAGATACCATTGACCACCCAGATAGAATTTAACAAGATGTCCCATTTATTGAGTGATAGTTACAATGTATTAACTAGCTGTGTTTATTGCTCATTAACAGGGAAGTGGTTTCCTCACCGTCCTGCTGAGTGGTGCTTGTTGCTCTTTAATAGGGCTGCGGTTCCCTCACTGCTTTGCTGAGTCTCCCATGACCTTCTTGCCCTGATTCCCTTCTCTAATGCTTGCCTTCCAGGTTCCCTGGACCTGTCTTCGGCCACCCTCGCTGCCTGTGACCCCTCGGGTAAGTAGCCCGCCACTCACCAGTCGGCTGGTGAATTGCAGTCCCTTGGGTTTACGTGTTCCTGTTTTGCCCATCATCCACTGTGGACTCCTTTCTCTCTCCCAGAGGGCAAAGTCCTGTCCCTCGCTGTCTGCTTTTTAAGCATAGCAGCCGCTTTTATCTCCCTTATCTCCATCCGGTGTGCCAATCCTCGTCTGCTGGGTCCAGTCAGCAACCGACCTTGTCCTTTTCATGACCCTGTCCCCTTTGGCAACCTGAGTCCCATGACTTTCCCAAGTAACAGGGTTTCCATCAACACCCTGTTACAGTTATAAAAAATATATACTAGGGGAAACTAGTTTTAATGCTGTTTTTAAATGATTTGAAGAACTAAAATTGTTTTTTGGATACAGTGGGTCTATGTGCTCTGGCCAAAATTTGTAAAAATGGACCCGTAATTTCAGGATTTAGGAGATTAAATGACTTTATTTCTAGAAGAACTGAGCATCCAGTAGCACCCATTACTTCCTAATGAAATAAATAAATACCACTAGGTGCTTGATACTTTGATAGTTTGAAAATCAATATTTACCTATATGCATAAATATGGATTTAAGAGTTGCTCCCTGCACATCCCTAGGGTCAGCTCAGCCAAGGGGAGAGGTTTGATAAAGCTGCAAAGAGCTAAGTTTCTTGTCTAGAGAAACCACCATGGTGCAGAACAACTTATGCTAGATCAAGGTTGAAAGCTGCTGCATGGACAGGATAGTCTGCACACACAGGAAGTTTGGCGTAAGAGTGATGCCACTCCTAACAGAACCCCATTAGCAATCCAGGTCCCTGACTCTCCTAAAGGTAGGGATGCCCCAGATTCTTATGAGTTTTCCCACAGCTGAGCAATTACTACAAACCTAGATCATTCCTATAGAACTTGTGCACTTCACCCAAATGTTGGTGGATTGCACGTTGCAGCAAATTGCAGTCACATTTCTATAGCTGCACTTCTCCTTCCTGTCACCGGCTGAACTTCATAGCACAATTCAGACCTTTTATCAGCCACTCTAAGTAGCTACAAGTGACTCATGCTTTATGAAAGTGCACTGTGCCCTGCATCAGTATGTAGAACTGCCATAGTAATTCAGTGGGGTTTTTTCTTTTTTTCTTTAATGATAACAGCATCCTTAATAGGAGTTCTGCCACTCTTTTAACCAATACAGGGTATTATCTATGTCTTGTCTACATGAGAAAGTCTCTCTGTCACACAATACAAAGTCTGATACAAGAACAAAGCTCTAACACATGTATTTTAAATCTATTCAGTGTTGTGTGTGGCAGGTCAACATAGCACTTAAGAAACAATCAGAAGCTTCTGTATAGTTGTCAAACTTCAATATTTTGATTCTTTTCAAGTGCCCTTTAAAAACAAAACTTGTAGAACATATAAACATATGGAATTAGCTTTAGCTGCCAAAAGGAAAGGCATTCAAAGTTAAGGCTCAAGGGATACCACTAACACATGTCATGACTTAGCATCTTAAAGCTAGGTACAGAATGTGGATGCTAAATCCTATTGATATATTTTTTATGGGTTTTGGTTGTCAGAATTCCATCATCTACATCTTTGTTTTTTAGTGTGCTTCCCAAATGTTTTAATAAGCTTTTGACCACACACAAAGTGTTTATTCTAGGGTAAGGAACTGCCAGGGCAACTGAAGTAGGCACAGGCTAGTATTTGGTATACTGTCCTCTTCTTCCATATGCCTCACAACTGTGCACTTTCTGCTTATCTAGCCTTATTGCTTACTGCACTGTCCAGCCCTCTTGACACTAACAGTGCTGCTAACCTTGAGTAGTTGCTTGTGTGTGTATCTTAACACACACACGTCTCCTAACACACTCTTCTGTTTTAAAACTGATTCATAAAGACACTACCCATTCCTTCAAGCTTTGACTTAAGGCTCACTTCTGATGCAAGTGACCAATAATGCTTATAATGGCCAGACTGAGAAGGAGCAAGTAGCAAACTTGAATAGGAACTGTTTTTTCTCACCCTATGGATTTTCACAGCTTTCACACTTTTTTAAGCATCTCAGTGTTGAAAAATTGAGATGCCAAACATTTGAGATACAATCATGATAAGGACTTGAATACTTTGAATTTGTTCTTTAACTTTCCAAAATAAAAAAAACTAAAATGAAACTTTGGTTCAAAATATTGAAATAGGACATGCTGCATTTTTGTTTCAGTATAAATTGGGAGATTCATTGAAATCAATCATTTTTTAGAGTACTTTAGGTTTCAACAGATCAGTGCCTTCACAGAAGAACAGGTGCATCATAACATTTCCAACCAGCTCTAATTAGGAGTAAGTGATGTGTGTTCCTGTTTCTTTTTTCTCATATATACAGGCTTGTCAAATGACTTGGAGCCATCGAGGTGTGCACGTAGGCTTAGATTTAACTGCCTGACTGATTGTTGTGCCCTCACCCTTTCCTTATATTCCCTCATTCTCTTACGTAGTACCTCTTGTTTCAGATCAGGCTACAAATGATCTGGAGGCAGCGGCTAACTTTCTATATACTGCTCAGTAAAACTGGCCCCTGGTCCTGATTGGGGTTCTCTGATCACTACAGCAGTGTAAACAATGTATGATTTTATGGTTTACTTGTACTACTACAGAATTTAGCTACTGCGTGCTTATAATGAATAGCTCCTCACTTGATAAGGAAGGATGGAGACTAGACCTCACAGTGACTTGGACCGTTAGCTTGCAATTACAAGCATTAGAAAAAATAATTTAACACTGAAGACTCTTCATTATTAGAAGGTGCTTGTGGAGTTTTGCTTTGTTTTAGTATTTTGTTTTTCTTTTTTTGGTATTTAGTTGAGTTCCTAATTGGGACCCAGATATTTGAATGGCAAGCCCTGCAGTTGTATCACAGCACCACTGGAGGGTAGCAGGATTCAGCATTCTGATCCACTGTGGTTTGAGGGGATTGTCTTCATTGTGCCCAAGTTCAATCCATCCAAACCTGATTCCTTGACTTGTGGGGAAAACAAACTGAAATGCTTCCTAGAAGGTCTACATCCTCTTCCTTTCTGTAAGATGCAAAAGTAATGGTTCCTTGCAAAGGGTTGTGAGAATTAACTCACTAATATTTGAGGCATTTGAACACAAACATCTGAACAGTAGCCACTAGCTGATGCTGCAGCCATGCCTGAGAAAAGAGCAAGTAAGAAAAAAGGTATACCTTCATTGCAACTTTAGCTTAAGCATTGCCCCTAACCCTTCTTATCCATAAATGAAACCCTCTCCCCTACAAATGGTCTTAAGGGTGCTTGGAGCCCAGGCTAACACACATGAATGATGGGTTGGGTTTCAGCCTGACCTGATAAATTGGTTGTTAGCATTAAGCATACAGGCTTACTATTCCAAAACTTCACCTGGGCCATACCTTCTTATATCTCCTTCCTTACACTTGCACTCCTTTGTATTTTAACACTACACATTACCTGCTTAGTCTCTGTTGCATTTCTGCAGCAGTTGAGGAAAGATGCTGTCTAAGAAACCCTCCTCCACTGCTGTTGGTTAGCTAAAAGCTGATATCACTCTTCTTATAAAGCAGTGCTGTGATGTCAGTAAAGGTCAGAACATGGGGAAAGGTACCCCATATGATATATTTATGCTTAGTTGTCAGGAAAGGAATGGGCATAGAGGTTGGTTAGGTATGCTGTGAATCGCTTTGTTCTTCACTAACTGAATTCTTTAGTAACATTCCCGTTTCCTTCATTCAGGAGGGACTCAAAAGCATTGTTTTCATGTCACTGCCACAGTCAGCAGCCCAGTGTTAAATGAGAGAGGGTTCAATGCACCACAAAGCACCATGCAATATCATGCCAGATATCCATCCCAGCACATGGATTAGTAAAGCATCATACCATTTCATGGACCTGGTAGGCACAAGATCAGATGTTCTGCCCATGTTAAGCTAGCCTGGTCTAACTCTGTTGTGAAGACATCCCCTACATCTTTGAGTGGGAAATGGTCCAGTAGACTGTCCTTAAGTAAGAGCTAAGAGCTTTCTTAATGAGGCTGTTCAAGGAGGGAGCAAGGGCAGGGGTGGGGGGAAGCAGGGGATGTGGGCAGGAATGGCAGAGACTGGACAAGACACATGTGAGGGGTAGAAGCTAAAATGAAGAGGAAGAAGAACCCCATGTGACTTGGAAAGGAATATAACTTAACTTTTAAATCAGCTTGCTAAAAATTTTTCACGTATATATTTATGAGATCAGAGAGAGAAGTCTTGATTTCAAAATGAATTACTCATGTACAAATTCACTTGGTACCATACCTGTTGGAGTGGTTGGGGTTGGGATGAATGGCAGAGAAGCGTGTACAGGTTACTTATATTCTTTTGAATGTAGCCCATGTGGTTTGGGTATATACTCCCCTTCTCCAATTGAAAGGGATTGTTAGCTGGCAGGTGTGCTGTGGGTGGGGGCTGGGGAAATGCAGACCGCTCAGTTTCCCTCCCTCCCTATAGAACCAGGCCAGGACAGTCAGGGACTGAACTATATACACATTTATTTACATTAACTTATCACAAGGGAAAGGAACATGAATGTAAACATATGTACAATATATATATATATTTATAAGACATCTAAACAAGCAACATAAACAATACTTTCTGGGTAAATGACATAAAACCTTAGACCAGTGCTCCAGATACAGGTAAGTCACAGGTAATTATTTGATCTGAAACAGATAAACCCCAAAGATAATCTCAATCCCGAGGGGAAACCCCAATGCCCTTGGACTTTTCCTAAGCCCTACAAAGAAGCTGGTAACTTTAGGGGGGCCCTCCCAGTGGAACCTCCACTTTCAGGAGCCCTTAACTAACCAGGGGGGACTCCCCCTCCCCTGTGGGAATCCTCTTTTCCCTGTAACTCACGGCTCCCAGGCCTGGAAGGTGACCCTCGTCCTCTGCACCAGGCTGCTCTTTCGCCTGCAGTGGGCTTCAGGGGGGTCGCTGTCCCCTGGAACAGGGTTCTTCTATGCAGGGCTTCTGGGACCTATGGCTCGGACCTGTCTGCTGGCTCAGTAGCCCGATCACTGTCTGGCTCCCTAGACTCAACCTTTTGCTATGGGTTGGAGGCCTGGGCTGCCTCATGCAGCACCAGGCTTGGTCCGCTCCCGGACCCTCTGTGCAGCACCTCCTGC